AATAATAAAATAAAGTAAAGGGATACTAATAAAATCATGAATAAATCGGAGAATGATTCAAAAGGAAAAAATTAACTAGGGGCCTGTGCATAGAATATATCTTCCTTGTAGCTCTGCTATCCAAGGAAAACACTTCATTGTTGCTTTGCTAAAACAATGAGCTCTTCATGCTCAGGGTCTCCCGTGTCTCATTTTTTTATTTCAATTCCTCGATTAATATGTCTCAATTTCTTCATTTTAATTTCTTAATTAATATGGCCCCTGCCAAGGAGGGACCAGTCCTGGGAGGACATCATGTTAGGTAAAGTGGAGGGTCAGCAGAGAAGAGGAAGAGTCCTAGTGAGATGGATTGGCACAGTGGCAGCATCAGTGGGCTCAAATGTAGCAATGATAGGATGATGCAGGACCAGGCACCATCTCATTCTGTTGTGCATGTCGACTTGATTAGCACCTAACAACAACAACAACAACGAAGGAAAAAGGAGAGTCCAGTGTTGGGCTGAAGGTGGCATGAGCTGACTCCTAAAAGCCTTTGGTTCCGGATTTCAGGAATGCACAGATGGGATGAGCACGAGGTGTGGAAACTATTGATCACATCTCTACGAACTCTTGTTGTTGTTGTTGTTGTTGTTGTTGTTAGGTACTGTCCAATCAGTTCTGACTCACAGTGACCCTGTATAAGGTTTTGGAGCAGCTGCTGGTGTATTTGAACCACTGATCTTGCAGTTAGTAGTCCAGTGCTTATCTGACAGTGCCACACCACAACTCCCTAATGACTCTTCTGACTGGCAAAACCTGCCCTTGGGCCCAGCAGAAAGAGAAACTGAGGTTGTGGTCTTCATTGTGTGGTTTTAATGACTGTTTTAATGATTGTTGGGGGCGATTTGAGCTGAAGGTCTCAGACTTGGGGGTAGTTTAATGGAAGGATTGCAACTGAACAGTTGTGGTCCAGAAAATCGGGATGCTCCCAGGTCATCTTGCCCCACTCAAGAACTTGCAGGGCTGCTTCGGGGGACAGGGAACTTGCAAGGTTTTTTCCTTGTATGACCTTCAGTTCAAGTCTGCAAAAACATCTTGCCCTGTCTCCTTAGCAACCACAAGTTACATTCTTCTGACAAAGTCCTGCTTACTGCTTGCATTGATGTACCATATGTTTTTTGCACTCTTTTACCTGCCCCCAGCACCTCCTTTAATACATAATAAACATGATGAGTCCAGGTCTGTGGCACAGTATCTCCATCAGAGTGCTATGTCCCACCCAGTCCCAACTTTACTATTTTCATTTTGTGTCTGGTGTCTTTCTTTTTTTCTAATTTCCCGTCGCCCCTACTTGGGTTTACTCTCTCCATGCGGGTCACGGAGTATAACCACTTGTCGGACGCTACAAATGATCATGTAAATTCCTGACTACTTGGCAGTTCCAATGGGAACTGAAAGTGAACGCTTGCTTTGGAGGTGACTCTCACCAAGTGACAAGTACTGCACAAGTCCATGATGTGACCCATAACAATGGTTACTGTCCTCCCTGGACCGTGCAGACACTGCAGAGAATCGAGTACTGGTTATGCCCTGATTTTAGCAATTGATGTGTGGAGGCCACCAGTTTTTTTCCTTCTTTTTTAAAAATGACTTACAATTCACATACCATAAAATTCATGTTTCTAAAAGCAGATGATACTTAACCATCATTTTGATTTGAACTTTATTCTTGGGAAGAGATGGAAAAGACATTCCACTCAGTTCAAATAGCTCTTATGGTACTTATTTAAGGCAAAGATTTACAGCCTTGGAAACCCTGTACAGGGTCGCTGCGTCGGAACTGACTCCAAGGCACACCACTACCATCACCACCACCAAGGCAATACAGTTGCATAAATAACACTGAAAGCTAAGTTAGAAAGTTCTTTTGACACAAGAAAAGTGAAAGGTGCAGAATTCAGTCTTCCAGTAGAGAACATGTTGTTGTTGTTGTTGTGTGCTGTCAAGCCGGTTCTGATTCAAAGTGACCCTGTATGGAGTTTCTGAGAGCAGTTGGTGGGTTTCAAGTCCAGTGATTCTCCTAGGGTTATTTTTCTGTTTTCTATAACGTCCCAGAGTTCTGGTATGATGCTGCAGAATAATGCACTGGGCTGAGAGGTTGGTTTGAACCACAAGGTTGGCAGTTCAAGTTCACCAGCTGCTCCTTGGAAACCCTATACAGAGTCGCTATGAATCAGAACTGACTCGGCAGCACTTAACACTAGCAACATATGTTAAGTCAGTTCCAACTCATAACAATCCTGTATAGGGTTTCTGAAGAGTGGCTGGTGAATTTGAACTGCTAACCCTGCTATTCAAATGACCTCGTGGTTCAGTGAATTATGCTCTAGCACCACACCAGGTCTCCATAACTTAAAAATGGTAGTTTGCTATGAACGGTATGTAGACTCCTGGTGTGGTGCTGTAGGATTAACACTGGACTGCGAACCAGAAGGTGCTCCTTGGAAACCCTATACAGAGTCACCATAGTCAGAACCAACTCCACAGATCTCTATGGGAGCAGATCACTAGTTCTCTTCTCCTGCAAAGTAGGTGGTGGGTTTCCGTCACAGACCTTTCAGTTAGCAGCCAAACACTTAACCACTGTGCTTTCAAGACTGCTTTACTCTCCCACAGCACCCTCCATTTGCATAATCACTAGAGACACTGGATGCAAAGGGCAAGATTGGCAGTTCAAACCCACCAGCAGCCACTCCTCAGCCCGAAACAGCCCTCTGAGTCAGAACCAACTAGACAGTAACTAATAACCACAAAGAAGACCCTCAACCTCCTTCTAGAAACAGACCACCAGGGGCCTTAGTGCTCGGCACCTTTCAGTTTCTCATCTTCAAAGACCTCAGTTCACATCTCCAACATGTAGGCAAACATTTCAAGTCATCAGCACAGGATCTGCTGTTGAAAGAATCAGTCAAAGGTCATTCTCTGTGGAAAGCAGAGGTTAACAGATTAAGAGAATGTAGTCAAACACTATTGAAGAACCAAAAAGAAAACAACTTTCAGTTCTCCGTGGACTAACTTCAGCAACGTTTTAAACCTGCACCGCACAGCTGTCACAAGCCAAGGTTCAAATCCTGGCTTGGTAACATTGAACAAGTTAACTTGGTTTTTTATGAATCTCAAGTTTCCTTTAAAGAAAGAAAGAGGTAGGGCAATACCTCAGAAAGTTGTTAGAATTTAAATAAAAATGTTTACGATGTGCTTAATACTGCTTGGTACTAGGGAGCTCACCAAGCGCTAACTACGGTAATAAGCCAGAATTGGGGAAGATTCCCTACAGTGTGTGTTTTTCCGAAGTCTTCAGTGTCCTCTCCCAATCTATCTTTTTGACCTCATAAGCAACCTGACTTCCATCCCCAATCCCCAAGTATGAGGGGGCTTCAAAAAGTTCCTGGAAAAATGGAATTAAAAAATCCATGAAATTATTCCAAAAACTTTGTGAAGTCCTCTAGTACAGATGGCAGCATCCTAAGAGAGGAGACGAGAGGAGTGAAGTGGACCAGGAGGCATGCCTTGTGGAAAAAACCAGACAACACCAGTTCATAGAGACACTTGCACTGTGAGCTTTATGGTCCAGAATGTGCAGTAAGACGTGAACGTACCCCAGAATTCCCAGTGCCCCAGGAGAGGTCAGCCTGTCCCATCAAGTCCTGTCCTCTGGGAGGAAAAAGGCAGGGCAGGGCGCTCCATCCTGTCACCTGTTTGTGCTGTCTGCTCACGCTCCTCAGAGCAGGCCTAACATCAGCTCATGCGTCCCCGGACGTTAGTTTTTAGGGCCAAGTCCAAAATCTTTGGGTGGCCCTCCATTACTACTGCTCTGTCTATCTGCTGTAGGGGAGCCAGGGAGGGGCTGCCCCCCAAGAAGGGTGCCAGCCTCAGGATCCGGTTTGCTGCGCTTGGCCAGGTCCTCGCTGTGGGCCTTGCGGATGTGGCGGTAGAGGTCCCCAGACTGCGTGTATCTGCGCAGGCAGTATCGGCATTCGTAGGGTCTCTCACGGGTATGCACTGTGGCATGTCGCCGCAGTGTGTAAGAGCAGGAGAAGGTCTTACCACATGTCTTGCAAGTGGGAACATCCTCAGTAAAAACCCCAAAGTTTCCCGGAGCTGCTTCATACTCGGAAGGCAAATAAAGTGGCTCATGCAGGGCTGGGGGGGCAGGCAGGGGCGAGGTCACCAGTCCTCGATGGTACTGCCCGGGGCCTGGCAGTAAATGGTAGGGTAAGTGAAGGTCTGGGGGTAGGAACTGGTCACTGGGACCCACCTCCTCCAGTCCTGTGGCCCCTGGCTCTTCAAAAGCCTCTGGCTGAGGAGGCCGCCCCCCAAACATTGTCCCTCCAGGTGGGAACAGTTCCCCAGGCCCCCGAGGAGGCTGCTCGTCTGACACATCTGGCTCCTCATCAGAGATCACAATAGCTTCCACCTTCACCTGGACCAGCTCAGCTTCAGCTGGGGCCGGAGCCTGGGGAGCCTCTGGGACTGGGGCTGGAACCGAAGCCGGGGGATAGAAGCCTCGCAGTGGGCCTCCAGTACCCCTCACTTCCGCCACTCTCAGACTCTCAGAACCCACATCAAGGGGAGCCAAGGGCTCCGCTGAGACAGTTGACAGGCCAGAAGAGAAGTAGTTGGCAGGAATGGTCTCCGTGGAGCTACTGGGGCTGGCAAGAGCAACATCAGCCACTGCGGGGGGAGGTGCCTGCAGCTGGGGTGAATCAACTTCCATGCCAGGTTGTGTTGTGTCAGCCCCACCGGGCACCGGTGGCTCATCTGGAGGACGGACAGTAGTGGAGGACGCAGCAGGGCCCTTCCAGTCCGCTTTGCCCCAGTGGCCCGATGTCTCAGCAGAAGTCAATGAAGGCTGCAGGCCATGAGACGTACTGGACAAAAATTCCAAACTCGGGGGCTGCAAGTTGACCTCCTCCTCCTTCTTGGTACTGTCTGCCTCGGCCAGGGCCCTAGCCTGCAGCCGCCGCTTACACACCTTGACGATGTCATTCATGTGTAGGTAGCTGGCAGCTGCCAGCACATCCTCCACTGGGGTGTCCCCCCACAGGGCCAGCTGGCCTGCATACATGAAGTCCAGAAGCAGTCCAAAGGCTGGGGCTGTGACTATCTCATTGTGGATACACACCAGATCCCTCTTGTCCAGCTCCCGCTCCTTGTAGAACAGCTGGAAGAAGGGACTGCAGGAGGCCAGTACGGCCCGATGGGCCAAGAACTGGGTGCTACCCACCATCACTGTGCAGTCACAGAGGAAACCCTGAGACCGCTGCTCCCGGAGGCTCTGGAGTAGCTGCTGGCTGTGCTCTGGGAACTCCATAGCATCCCGCGAAAGGACGGGACCCTAGGAAGGTCCCCACGAGTGGCTACCTGAGAAGAGAGCACAGTGGGTTAAGCCTGGTAACCTCCCCAGCAACCTTAACGTCAGCCCTGAATATGCCTCCCCAAGGCCTCTGGCGACACCACCTTTACATCCCCCACTACAGCCGCTTTAAGTTACTCTCCTTCTTTCTCCTGGGTCACACACCAAGTTGTCTACTAGCTCCGCCCCCCGGCCTAACCTTAGTCGCAAACTCCGCCCCCACTCGAAAAGCCGCGCCCCCGGAAGTCCCGCCCCAGACCAGCCTCCGCGTCCTCGGTGCCCACCCGGTAGCTTCCAGCAGCTCGTCCAACTAGGAGTCTCGTTCGCTCCCAGGCCTTTTCCGACGATGCGTCTACGCCCAACCCTGGGAACTCCCTGGGCTTCTCCCTTTCGCATTCCAGGGACTAAGGAATGCTAGGGTGGGAACTAGCAGAGAAAGCTGATCTCTCACCCAGCTCCGCGCACCCACAGGGCGAACTCCGCCCCTTCCCACCTCCTCAGTTTTCAATAGGCTTATGATCGCCTTTCCCCCGTCAAAGATTGGTCTCCCACCCATTGGCCCGCCCCCTCGCTCCGACCAGCGTCTTAAGTGGGTGTTTGCAGCCATGGTTCAGGAAGCTAGAAGTTGGATTGGTTACTGTTCCTGTCCTAAACTTTTCCTCTTCGTCCCGCCTTCTTTGCTTCAGAGCACCTCTGGATTGGCTGAGTTTCTCCAGCTCTCTCAGTCACTGGAGGGCGGGAATGGGAGTCGAGCAGGAAGTCGTCTGGTCTTTAAGCTGCGTTTGTCCAGTCTCGCAGAATGTTGACAGCACGTTGCTCCTGCTGCAGGGTTACCGACAAAAGGAGACTAGCGTGGGATCTAGGAGGCCAGGGTTCTGGACCTGTAACCGTGTGAAACAGGCACACTTCTCAGAGCTGTAGTTGTCTCTTGAAGGCCTCTACCTCCCTCAAAAATAACCTTAGTTTTAATTCCTAGACAGTAAATATTGTATCACTCGGAAGAACGGGCACAGCATATTGCACCTGAGGCCAGAATAGCCTGCCTGTCCCTAGTACATAAATGGACGGTAGGAAATAAACTCCTTCTTAAGAGTCGGAACCGACTCCACAGTACTTAACAACAACAACATTCTGGTTAGGTCTGATTAACAGCAGAATGAGGCAGACATGCTTAATATGATGGGTGAAGGGGTGAGATAGGGGACTGAGTCACTCATCTGTCAATCACATTGCTCTGGTCAGACAAGCAGCAATCTTCCCAAACTGCTTCAATCCCAATGAAACTCCTAGCAGCGTTTTAGTCAGAAATAGAAAAATTCACGCTAAAATTCACACATCTCAATTTTAAAACTTATTACAAAGCTACAGTAATCAAAACGGTGTGGTACTGGTGTAAGAAAAGACATATAGATCAATTAATAAAACAGAGAGCCCTGATAAATCATTGCATACATGGTCAGTTGGTTTATAACAAGGGTGCAAAAAGTATTCAATCGGAAAGCAGAATCTTTTCAACAAATGGTGTTGGGGGAACCAGACGTCCGCATTTAAAGAATGAAAAGTGGACCCTTACTTTGTGCTTTAAGTGTGAATAATAGCTGACATAAAGCTAATTTGTAAAATTTGAAGATTAGCTAGCTATGTGCCATGGAATTGGTTCCAACTCATAATGAGCCTGTGTAGAGTTTCTGAGGCTGTAAATCTTTATGGGAGCAGAAAGCCTCATATTTCTCTGACGAAACAGCTGGTAGATTCGAACTGCTGACCCTGAGGTTAGCAGCCCAATTCGTAACCACTATGCTACCAGAGCTCCTTCTACTTCATCATTCTGCACCAGCCACCCACGTGGCACTTACCTTCTCTCCAATGCTAACCACTCACAGTTGGATCTCCACAAGTTAGGACTCTGTCCACTGAGTCTCTGTCAAATAGAGACCTGTCTCTCTGCTGACTCTCTTTATTCCAGGTGGGCCTGGTCATTTGCTAGACTGACTCATAGAATCTACAGAGACAAACCTATACTTACTGTTACCCATTCATTTTTACTAGAAAGAATACAAGCAGAGAGATGCATCAAGTAAGGTCTGGGAGCATTCTCTGGGATGTGCGCACCCTTTCCCCTGCATGGGAGTTCTCACTAACCCATGAAACCTCAAAAAAAACAGAGCTCCAACGTCCGGGTGTGGTGCTGTAGGATAAAGCACTGAACCACAAGGTTGATTTGTACCATAAGGTTGGTGGTTCAAACTCACTAACCTCTCTTTGGAAACATTATACAGGGTTGCTATGAGTCAGAACCAACTTGACAGCACTTAACTACAATGTCCAGGGCTCCCTACTCTGTAGAACCTCAATGAACATGCCTGAATGGGATCTCAATGCATAGTTATAAACAATTCAAACACTCCCTCCCTAGGTGTGAATTCCCCAGGTGTAGGGCCTGTGTGTTTCTCTGCTGTTCATAAGGTTTTCCGTGACTAAATATTGGGAATTAGTTCGTCACTCCTTCTTCCTAGTCTGTCTTCATCTGGAAGTTCATCTGAAACCTGTCCACCATGGGTGACCCTGCTGGTATTTCCAATACTGGTGGCATAGCTTTCAGGATCACAGCCACTCACAAGCCATCACTGTATGACAAACTGACAGACAAGTGGTGGACCGTAGAGAATGGATGCTTTTGAGTTGTGGTGTTGGAGGAGAATATTGAAAGTGCCATGGGCTGCCAAAAGAACCAATAGATCCGTGTTGGAAGAAGTGCAGCCAGAGTGCTCCTTGGAAGCCAGGATGGCCAGGCTTCGTCTTTCATACTTCGGACATGTTGTCTGGAGGGAACAGTCACTGGAGAAGGATGTCATATTTGGTAAGGTGGATGGTTGGAGAAAAAGAGGGAGACCCCCAATGGGATGGATTGGCCAAGTGGCAGCATCGATGGACTCAAGCATGGCAACAGTAATGAGGTTGGCCCAGGATTGGGCAGTGTTTCGTTCTGCTGTGCATAAGGTCGCTATGAGTCGGTACCGACTCGATGGCACCTAACAACAACAAGGGCCTGTGTGGCCCCTACTTGTCTAGCTATTTTAAGAAAGACAAAAAGCATCTTAATTGCTTGTGCTATTTTCAGAAACTAGATACAAAAAAGTCAAACGTAACTTTGTCCCATAGCGCTTACAAAAACAAAACAAACTCAAAATCTATTATATACTTAAGGCTTAAAATTTTTAGAAGAAGACATAGGACAAATTGTCATGACACTGTTGTTACTAATAGATTCTCAGATATGACACCAAAACCAGAAGCAATAAAGGACAGAATAGGTACATTGGACTTCATCAAAATTAAAAATTTTGTGCATCAAAAGACCCTATCAGCTCCTGACATCCTTCAGGCCTAGAACAGGAGGTTCAACTTTCAGTCAAACACTGGACAAACTTAAAAAGTGAACAATAACACTTCAGCCATCAGTCCTATGAGAGCAAGAGGGCAGCATTTACCCAGGAAGAAAGCTCAGAAGACAAGAAGGGATAACAAAGCAGGATGAGTAGCAATGGTGAACAGAAAATGGGAAGAAAGTGTTAGTTACACTGTAGGAAAAGCAAATCAGTGAAAAGAAATGTGTACGCACTTGTGAATGGAAAACCAATTTGATCTATAAACTTTCACTCAAATCACAATAGTAATAAAAGACACTCACAAGGTAGTGACTGTTACCAAATACGTCACAGGAATTCTGGACTTCTCGCAAGGAATCGCTGATTTGGGTGAGGTGTTGGGGACACAAGACATGGGCAAGACCACAGGATGACAGGACGAGAAAGCAGGTTTAATAGAAAACGAAAGTACACTTGAGAGGCAAGCAGGTATATCTTTGAAAGCCAGTGAGAGAAAAATCAACCATGACTGTGTAAGGGTATTTACTCTTTAAACTGTCCACCTCTGACTTCATTCTCGTAGCTCATAGATTTTTCTTCGTTTTGTCTCCTTATTTCGTTCTCTTCCTCTACCTGTGGTTGGTGGTGGTTACCAGGGAGATGGGGGCGAGGGGTGTCCGGTCTGCTCCTCCGTCCCTGCATCCCTGTCTATCAGTGACAACCCACAGAATGGGAGAATATATTTGGAAAGTATCTGATATGTAGTTGTTTTTGTTAAGTGCCATCAAGTCAAGTCTGACCCTAGAGTAGGGTTTCTGAAGCTTTAAATCTCTGCGGGAGCAGAAAGCCTCATCTTTCTCCCACTGAGCAACAGGTGGGGTCAAACCACACACCTGTGGTTCACAGTCCAGTGCTTATCCTATGAAACCACCACACTCATTTATCTGATATATATGACGTTATTGTTAAGTGCCATTGAGTTGGTTCCAACCTTTGCTGACCTTGCAGTTCAACCCGACTTTGCATTCTAGTGCATTAACCCATAGCACCACACCAGGATTGCGCTATATCTGATAAGAGTCTAATATTCTGAATATACAAGAATGATTACAATTCAACAACAAAAAGACAACAACACAAAAATGGGTCGGAAACGACTCGACGGCACTTAACAACAACAACAACAACAACAACAACAACAACAAGGACTTAAACAGACATTTCCCCCAAAATATACAAATGGCCAATAAGCACATGAAAGATGCTCAATATCATTAGACATTTCTTGTTGTTGTTACGTGCCGTGAAGTCGGTTCCAACTCATAGCGACTCTGTATAGGGTTTCTGAGGCTGTAAATCTTTACAGGAGCAGAAATCCTCATCTTTCTCCCACGGAACAGCTGGTAGTTTCAAACTGCTGACCTTAAAGTTCACAGCCCGATTCTTAACCATTACGCTACCAGAGCTTCTTATCATTAGCCATTGTTGTTATTGTTGTGAAGTGCCATCGAGTTGGTTCCGACCCATAGCGACCCTGTATAGGGTTTCCAAGGAGTGACTGGTGAGCTTGAACCGCTGACCTTGCAGTTC